TTAAAGGGTACCAAAGGAATCACCATACGACCGGACCAACCACAGGAAATTCGGGCAGCAGAATCCATACTATATAAAAAATATTTGGAAGAAAAGTCGTATGATCATTCATTGCGCTCCTTCTTTTCTAGAGGTGCAATTCACATTACCAAGGACAAAGCTGTGATTCGTAAGTATGGGATAAATGACCAAGGCCAGCCTACCCAAATAGCCTGACAACGGCATGGGAATCCCACGCGTGAACCGGTTACAACTAGGCAAGCAACTCAACCCATCCAAATGACTGTGTGGAATATATCAGGAGTAGCCACGCTGAATAATCTATCTATTAATCAAGCAACTTTACTTACGCAAGCTGATGTATTATTGTTTTGTGAAACATGGCATACGTACAATGTAAACTTAGGTTCGGTATTCTCTCACTATAATATTTGTGTGGAAAGAAAAGCTACAAAAAATGCTAACATTACGAAAGGGAGAGCTAGTGGTGGTTTCATCATCTTGTTGAATAACAAGTTCCAATTAATTAGAGAGATGATATCCAATGATAACTTTAGGAGTTTAGCAGTTAGAAAAATAATGAACGGAAAAATTTGGGTAATTGTGGTAGTGTATTTAAACCCTAGATTAGATCAAACTGATAATAAACTGCAGAACTTGCAGGAATTTTTGGGAGATATAAATGAACAATTTACCGATGCAGGCGTAGTAGTTATGGGGGACTTTAATGCTAGGATAGGTGAATTAAACTCGGGGGTCAGCCCAATTAATGTAAATCAAGCAATTCAATTACATAGATGTTCAAAAGATAAATTTATTGATAGAAGAGGAAAACTAATTTTAGAATTATTCAACAGCTCGGAGTACACTTTACTTAATGGCAAATGTAGGGGTGACCAACATGGCGAAATTACTCATGCAAATGAACTAGGAAAAAGTGTTATTGACTTAGTTTTTGTTAATAATATCGCCGTTGGGGATGTTCAAGAGATGCACATATTAGATATATGTGATGCTGGACATTTCCCATGTTCAGTCTCTTTTAATGAACTACCGACCAGAAAGCAGGAGAGCAGTTTAGTTATGAGATGGAAGAATGAACTAAGTGAGCGTTACAAGGTGGAAATAGAGAATATATTCCATTCTAGTAAGTCTCGTGCATATAATTATGTAGATTTATGTCAGGTAATAACAGACAGTGCAAAAAATGTAGGACTAGCATATATACCTAGTGGTAACTCAAAGGTTAAACTGAGCAAAAAGTGGTACGATAAAGAATGTGCAACCGAGGAAAAAAAAGTGAAAAGAAGCTACTTTATTGCCAAAAAGAGGGGTTGGGACGAAGAAAGCAGAACAGACTTTACTATTAGGCGTAAGCACTTTAGGAATTTGCGTCAACGGAAGAAAAGAGAGTATATAGATATGAAGAGAAAGCAACTTAATGAAGTAAAAAATAGTACTGAATTTTGGAAAGTTGTAAAATCTTTTAGAATGAAACCTGCACCTCCTAATTTAATTAAGGAAGACATTTGGAAGAACTTTTATGAGAAACTGCAATCACCACGAGTTAGAGAGGTAGTCAAGTATGTTGATGTCCACCATAATTGTCTTGATTCCATGATAAATATGCCTGAGTTGGAGAAAGCAATTCACACTCTTAAAAATAGGAAGGCACCTGGACCGGACGGTATAAGTAATGAGTTTATAAAAAATGGTCCGTTAATACTAAAAACTAAAATTTTAGATGTGTTTAATAATATTTTGCAGACAGAAACAGTCCCTACGGAGTGGAGTGAATCTTTAACAGTTATGTTACATAAGAAAGGAGATCTGCTCGATCCAATTAATTACAGACCGATTGCTTTATTAAATACGAGTTTAAAGTTATTTACTCAGATTTTGCAGGACCGATTAGTAAGCTGGACAAATATGTGCAATATCCTGCCAGAAGCTCAGGCTGGTTTCAGAAAGGGTAGAGGATGCGACGATCAAATATTTACACTTCAGGCTTTAACTCAAATTGGTACTAGAGGAAAAAAATCTAAAGTCTATGCTCTCTTTATAGATTTCCAAAGAGCGTTTCCAAGTATTAAACATCATCTGTTATGGGATAAATTGTTCCAAATCGGTCTTAGCGGTAAAATTATTCGAATCCTCAAGAGCCTGTACGACGAAGCAGGTACCATGATTAGGTTGCCAGACGGTTTGACAAACAAAATAGGCATCACGGAGGGTTTATTACAGGGAGAAATCTTATCCCCACTGCTCTTTAGTTTATATATTTCTGATATTGAGGAAAGATTAATTAATAGCGGCATTCGAGGAATAAAATTTGGGAATGCGGACATTAGCCTACTTTGCTTCGCTGATGACATGGTTCTTCTCGCCCCCACTAGAAGTGAACTACAGCAAAAAATCAATTGGTTGGATGAGTATTTCAATGATTTAGGCTTAACGATAAACTTAGCTAAAACCCAGGTTGTTATCTTTGAGCGCCGTAAATCTCGAAAAGTTGAGGAAATTATAACCTTGAAAGGAGTACCCTTGGAAGTAGTTCCAAGTTACACCTATCTGGGGGTTATTTTTAACCAGAACTGCAAATTTGATATAGCTGCAAGTTCTTTTAAAACAAAAGGAAAGGCAGCCGTGGCGTCGATATGGGAAGTGTTATGTAGAGGAAAAATCGAAGCTTGGGAAGCCAAAGTAAAATTATTCAACACGGTAGTTATACCAACAGCTTTGTACTGTGCCCAAATCTGGGGCCTTAACCAAACAATAGAATTAGAGAAGGTACATTGCTATTTCCTGAAAAAGGCCTTAGGAGTACGTGAGATTACATCAAATGCGGCAATTCGAATCGAGACAAATTCGTACAATTTGGCAGTTAAAATTCATGTACAGGCTTATAAATTTTGTTTAAAAATCTTAAATATGGGGGATAATCGTTATGTAAGAATTTGCTATGATAATTTGCTCCGGTATAGCAGTAGAGAAGGAGAAGATTCTAGATTTAATTGGTGCTCGCAGTTCTGTAAAATATTACAACTTGTAGGAATGGGGGATATATGGGTTGGCCAAAATTTTGATACAAGTATGAGTAATTTTAGGATTTTTATTGATAATCAGAGAAACTTAAATCGGGCGGCTGACATGGACACTTTGTGTTCTTCGACGAGATATAAATATTATAATCAATTGGTTCCAATTAATGATGACTTGCCGGATTACCTTAAAGGTAACAAACCTACAAGAATCTTACGCTGTATGGCTCAGTGCAGATTAGGATTGGGATATTTTAAGAGTAACGATTACTACTATAATTTGATCACAAATGAAGAATGCAGATATTGTATGAAAGAGTACCGATAAAGGGCGATGTTAAACCGATAATTGTTAACGATCACATTATAGAGCGAGTTACGTCATTTAAATATCTAGGAATAAATCTTGACCCTAGTTTAAATTTTAAATTACATTATGAAACTGTATTTTCAAAAGTCTGTCAACGGATAAAAATCCTGCATGGTCTAAAACGCTCAATTAGTGAGCAGGCAATGCGTGTAATTATTAACACTCAGGTACATTCGGTTATTGATTACTGTATTGACATATGGACGGTACAGACATCCCTGTCACTTAGCAAGATTCAGGAAGTCATTGACAACTTCCTCTTAAGTTATTATTATCCTAAGCTCGCAAAATTACGATCAACTAAGAAAATCACTTTAAAAAGTCTGCGGAAAAATATCGATATTCAAAAAATCAGGAATGATAACAAAATGCTTACGGTTGAACAGCGATCGAAATACGTACTATTAAAGAACGCGTATAAGATGTACAGAAGTAACAAATTAATTTTCTCCGAGAGAACGTTGAACAACAAGCGCCCGAATATGTGCGCCCCGACCCATAGAACAGAAGTATTTAAGCGTTCAACATTGTTTAGAAGATACTGTTTATGGAATACTTTACCTAAAGACTGGGAATTATGCAACATGTCCTACGTATTGTTTCAATCAAATGCACGTGAGTTTGTAACTGGTCAAATAAATCACAATGGACCAGAGGTTAACAATTTATAATTATAATATTATGACAAAAAATTTATATATAGTTATATGTAGATTAGTACAAATTTTTATTATTGTGTCTTGATCTGAAAAGCAGTGTATAACTGATGATTCGCGACACTTGAATAAACTACAGTAAACAGTAAACAGTAAACTGTAACATCAAGGAGGAAGACAACTTGGACCATTTTATGTTCAGATGCAAAATTGCTGATTTTCTTAGATGTGAATTAATTAATAAGTACCTTAAAGACTGTAACATCAACAAATTAGACTTTTCAGGAAGAATGAGGGCATTACTGTTTGAAACTGATGAAGCTAAAGAAAATGATATACATAATTATGTAACATCCTGCATTAAGTTAAGGAATATGGGTGATGGGTAATTCTTATTAATAATCAATATTAATTTTAATAGCATATACAGTAATTTAGTTGATTAGGTTATAATAGGTTACGGGGTCTGCCACCCCTTACTCAATCTTTGCTTTGTAATGGAATCAAAATTGTAATGTTTATATCTTCCATGGGATCATGGCCCGAGGGAAGATTAGTATCAATAAATCAATCAATCAATCAATCAATCAATCAAATAATGTGCTTAAAAAATCAGTCCAAGAATTTTTGACAATTTCTTCCACAAATGGAATATTTAAATTTAGGACGATTTATTGGCTGGTCTACCGTTGGTTTAAAATTTATCTTTTGCCAATACCAACGCAGTCTAACAAATTATAATTAAGGTTTCCCATTATAAAAAAGAATTAAAAAATTAAATTTAAACATTAAAATGAAATAAATATTTGTAAACACAATCATGTGTTCAGCCAGCCTCCAAAAGATACACAAATGCATTTATGAAGAATTATAGAAGTAACAGGTGCAAATATATACGTTTAATTATGTAAATATCCATAAGTAGCGTACATATGTATTTAACTGTTTTATTGAGGTAGTCAATTTTTATTACTGCATATCCTTTTCATACAAATTACACAAATTTAGAAAATAAATAAATCCTACAATAAAATAAATCTCAATCTCCTCTTCATCGGATTATCCTTTGGTAACGTGTCCACCCATGTTCTCAAGGTTACCGTGACAACGCCCGATACCACCAAAATGGCTCCGGCAACACTAAAAGTTTAAATTAAACGATTTTAGTCATGATTCATATGTTCTTAGTAGTTAATAGTATGATTAGTATGTATGCAAAAATGAGCGTGACATAGGTCATCGCTGAAATTTGCATCAAATATTTTAATACTAACGAGACATACAAATAGGTATGAAAAAATACATATAAAAAGTAACCACAAAATTGAATTTATAATTTAATACTCTTGATTTTTGACGTTTATTTTCTTTAATTAAAATATATGGTTAAAATGTGTCCAACCGTTGAATAAGCTTGATACAAACTGAATAAATTCGACCAACTTCTTAGTTAGTGCCGAAAAAAGGACACAATTTTCGTCTTCTTTGTTGAGTATTTTTGTCCCATTTTAAATACACACAACTTTATTTAGAGTTTGTACGAGAGCTCGCATTACGTTGCCACCCGTACTTACTTATTTACGCAGCCCGACATACAAAAACACTGCAGAAAGATGTCTTATCAGTAACCAACCTGATAATGTCCGGATATGTCCCGACGATCACCCACTGCCAGAAAAACACGAAGATAACTTCACTGGTCCGAACCAACGCGACTACGCCAGCCTCCTCATTTTGCAGCGCGAGCACCAAAAACGTTAACGCGCTTCCGAGACACAGTCCCGCCAGCGACATTCCGATGATATCTTCCTTCGCGGGGAGGTTCAGTTCGCCCCAGCACCAGGAGAGGATCACGCCCTGGGTGCCACCCCACAACATGGCGATTAAGTTACTCACGCCGTGATAGACTTCACTCATTGAGCGGATTATGACGAGTTGAAGGGCGATGATGATCATGGTGACGACTGCGATGCCGATTCCGATCTAAGGATTAAAATTAATTGAAATTGACTTGTCATGTCAGCTTATAAGGGATATCGCTCAGGGGATAGTCCGATTTTTACAAATATTTACCAAGTTTTACCAATTTTAAAAGCCAATCGATTACAAATTTAGTAGTTTTAGTTTTGCAAAGGATACCATCTCCCAAGGGCGACGTTTGGCATAGATATTTGCATCCAAGGAGGAGAAAATGTGCTCAAAGTCGATTCAAAGGTTCCGCATTAAAAAAAACAACTACTCGTTTTCTCCTCTATGGATGCAAATATGTATCTTCTCCAAACCTGACCATTGTGGGATGGTGTCCTTTGCGGATTTTAAACTATTCAAATTTGTGATGGAATGGTCCTAGTTTGTTCAAAATCAGGGAATATACGCTCCATTATTATGCTATGTTAACTAAAATTAGTCCCGATGTTGTAAGGGTTTCTTATGGAAAAGTTTTGTCTAATTTTAAAATATATATCATTGCTCTAAACTAACCAGAGTATTTTGATCGAATTCCTCCTTCCCCGTTAAAATCGGCGGCCTTGTCATAATTCCAATCCCGCAAACGGCCACGATCGCCGTAACGATTGGCACAACGCCGCATTTTTCTCCCAGAAAGAGCCACCCAAACAAAAACACGGCAATTACCACGGCACTAATCACAGTTCTCAAATCTGCCGCTGAAATGTATCTAAAAGCTGCGACGGACAGGTAAAAAATTATTGAGGTAATGATTCCCCGAAGGAAGACGAGGGCCACGTTTTTCTTATTGTCTTTCAGCGGGAGGAGCCCCTGGGACAGGGACCCTCGTGCGTAGCACTTGTGATACAGGATGCACACCAGCGCGACTGCGGCCGCGGTGGGGGAGTACCAAATCCCCACGTTGAAGGGGTGTACGTGCGAGTACTTTTTCATAATCGTGTTCGTCAAAGAGAGCATGTTGACGGCGAGGAGGGTGTAAAACACGCCGAGATAGCGGCGCCATCCTACGGGCTGAGTGCGCGGTGCGACTGTAATTTTAAATAAGGAATGCGTTGTTCTAAACATTTTGCTCGTCATAAGTACAGCATGGATATGTAATTACGAAAAATTACTGAAACGCGTATCTAACATTTTAGTACTCACGAAATATGCATATATGAAAAAAGCAAAAGGAGAATTTTGGAAAAAATTATTTTTGAATTTAATGGTCTGGATTTTTTTCTTTCAAGAAAAAACTCGCCCCGGTAAGTGATAAATCGTTGAAATTTACATAAAATACATATATTTTTTAAAAATTATGCCAAAAGTGAGTTTTTTGCAAATAATATCAGAAACATTTAAGTGTCAAAGCCAAGAAATATTTCAAACTATCTGTATTTAAAGCATCGTGCTCAATGTATGTGTTAGAGGTAAGAAACATAAACAATATTTGACCAACGGTCATTATCAAAAGAAAAAGTTTAAAATGAATAAGTACATCCACCCTCCGACGACAAACTTCAAATATTTTTCTTTCTCAGCATTTCTGTTCGGTACATACATTTTAGACTTTCTAATTACATAAATATGTAAATAATGGGCGTATCCCAGCTTGTCATACATATGAATATCTACTAGTGAAGAAAATAAATGTTAACTACGCACCGAATTCATCTCCTCTCGATTCTATGATGACGTACAGACTGGCCGAGCACATGGAGGCTGACCGTGTCATTTTTGCTGACGATGGGTGTGGCGTCATGTGAAGGGTGAGAAAGGGGGAGGAGGCTGACTTCTGTATTTCTTTCTTCATTTTGTCCTCCTCCTGCTCCACTACGAGGTACGTCGAGGTCGGGGCCATTTTCAGACGGAGTTTACTGATCGAATGACGCTGGGTTGATCAAGTGCAAAAGTGTGTATGTAAATTTGGGGGTCGGGCAGACAAGACGTCGTCACGAGATGGCGATACATATTATTTCATTCATCGTTGACTAATTAAAATGAGGGGTCAAGTATCATTAGAACAAATTCGGGTAGTAATAATTGTCATAATTTATGAAGGGGTAACCACCAGGTTGTGAAAGGCGTGATGTGTAGACAACACAAACCAGGGTTCCCTAAATACAAAGCGCTAGAGTTAAGATGATTCAATGTCAATCCGGAATTGAGTCCAGTCTTTGTCTTGTTCGAATCTGAATTTTTCTAGATTTGAGCCTGTCATTTCTAACATGGCAAAAATTAGCCCTACTAAAGGTTATTTGAAAAGTAAGATTGTCTTGTTTTGAGTGTCACACATAAAAATATTTTGTTGGGATCAAAACATCGAAAATTAGCAGAACTTTTTCTAGGAAGATTTGTGAAATTGCACATGACTATTTCTAAAAATTTCATTGTCATTGTCAAAATTATCTTGCCAAGTGTAATGCGAACTCGTATAAGCTTGGCATTTTATTTGTAAAATATACAAAATATGCAAAGCTTGTTTGTAGTTGTGCACCAACTCGGAAAAAAAAACAAAAACATCATATAACTAAGGAGGGGAGGTTGTGTACTATCAACTCCCAGATCCTGATGCCCTTTGGACTCAGCTTTTGGGAATTCTTAGTATTTTTAAAATTTAAAATTCTGAATGAGCATTGTTGTAGTAATCAACAAAGCAAATTATGTCTGGGCAATAATCATCAAAAAAGTTGAGTTTGATGTTGGAAATAAGAAAGCAACTATCTGGGAATACAATGGTGAAAGAAATTTCAAAATCCGAGTAAAATTGGATTTTTGAGATGGATTTGAGTGAGTGAAAGCTGGAGTGAAAGCGGTTTTTGGGCACCTTTGAGTGGGTGTGGCGGGCGCAAATGTTTCCATGGAATCAAACCACTTCAGGGTTGTTGTACAGTCATGGGACACTACAACATATCCAAAGGGCATCAGGATCTGGGAGTTGATAGTACACAACCTCCCCTCCTAAGCACATATCAGTAAATAAACACGCCACTACGCGAACCCTGTTTTGGTCTCATCGGTGTCAAAATAGGTTGTTGTGAAAGTCGTCAAGTGTTTATTGCAGAGTCGAAGTTCAACACGACACGAACAATTCCACACCTTATCGCGGACGCAAAAATATGTTCGATATCGTCAAACAGACGCGACGTGACATGGCTCAATCTCATGATTAATTTCCAGTACTTTCTGCTCCAAGGTGGATCGCAACCACTTAATATCTGTAGTGTGTTGAAACGTGACAAACTAATGGCCATATGAACAATGTGAACACTGACACTACAAAACTGACCCTTAAATTAATTATCTTAATAATAATTTTCTAAATTTTAAAGAAATTCTACAATTTTAAACTATTTATGTCACGTGTCAAACCTCCTACGTTTGCCCATAACTTAATTTCAGGATTGGACCAGTCAAATTCAATCCTAAAAATTTTGGGGGCCCTTAACATAAATAAAATCCAGCAACAGATACAATAAACTTGCGAAAGCGAAATGAATTGAGATTCATGGGCTAGGTGGATTGTTGACCAAAAGAATTTGAAATGTTTAAAGTTTCAACACTGCATGACCTACGACTTTTTTTGCATGGGGGCAAAGTATTTCAAATTCTGAAATCTTTTTCCTCGAACCACAATCTAAAGAAGCAAAAGTCCATCTTTTTTATCTCATTTTTACGGACACCAGGTCATCCTACCAGTAAATGAGGGTAATATGACCTTTTGACCCCTGACCTCATCACCATAACGAAGTAACGAGCTTCGAACAAAAAAAAATTTTTTAATTAATAATAAATTATAATTAAATTTAATTAAAACTTAAATCTTTACATCCGATACAAGTAAAAAAATTTATTCGCTCATGGATTCTTGCGCTGACGGACAGACAAATCGATCTCAATAATTACTCTTTACTACATTCTGTTCGTTCATAATTGTTAACACGATTACTGGACGGCCAGCCCCTGACGTAATTTTGTTTGCCATCCTGCCCAAACAAAATAAGTTAATTGAAATCACGCAAACAGATAAGAACTCAATAACAAGGTGGACATGGCCTCGCCGCGTGGGTGTAAATATTTTGTCAGTCAGTGAACAAGTTAACTGATTGCGCACATTGTTTCCACCGTAGACAAAGAGACGCGTAATCAACGGACAATTTGCACTCACGGATCCTGACCGAAAGAATTTTTTGCACTCACAATCAAACCAGATACGCAAGAATGAATAGACACATGCAGGATAACTATTTACTAGTCGAAGGTCCACACTACTAAGTTTTCCCTAGTTTTCGATATAACAGAAAACCTGAGAAATGATTTCTTAAAAAACTGGGTTTACAATTAAACAAAACACCGGTTTTCTAAAAAAATTTGTTTTGGGATTTTAACAAAATTCAAAAAAACTTTTTGGGGATAATATTTAATTTCTCATGTTAAAATAAGTATTTATTAACTGTCCTGTAACAACTCCTTATTCTCAACTTTATATGTAATTTTAATTTTTCATTCAACTTTTGATTGCTACATATTTTTACAAACTTTTTAAAATTTGAACCAGAACCGATTTTAAAATTCGGCTTAACGCCGGAATCGAAATCTTGTCCCCTGAGATGAACGTCTTTGGTTCTTCATATGAACAATTTCTATAGTTATTAAGATGCCTACATTACATTTTAAATTCTTCTATATTTCTTGAAAGTATACATATGTCCAGTATTTAAGATAGATATATACAATGAAATAGTGTTTTTTTCATCTTCCAACGATTTTCGAGTTTGATGGCTCAAAAGTTGCATAATATTTAGTAGATCAAAAATCCGTAATAAAATTGGGGGGTACGCCAGCAGTTTTCGAGATCTGAGCCAAAATGTGCGAATTTTTTGCAAATTTTGGATTTTGACTCAAACTAGTCCAACTTTTGGTCAAATATCGCGGGAAATAATTTAAAAAATTATTTTATACTAGAATTTGGCCGCTGCCTCGATTTCGGACCCCAATTTTTTAATATGTCGAACTTTGCAAAATAATTGCATTTTCCGTATTAGTATGCCACGATCGAATTTTGGAATTTTGGTTAGCATTTTAAGTTAATCCATAGGTGTAATGATCTAACTGAATCGCTAGATACAATTCGTTACTTATTCCGAATGTTTAAACCAACTGGGAATGTTGTGAATAGCCGGCTATAGCAGTAAATTTGGGACCGCAGTTGCAACACATATTGCAACAAAATTTGAACGAAATCTAAATTAGAATATGAGTAAGGAGTTCATGTTAATGTTACGGATTTCTGATATGTCCTGTTGCCAATTTAGAATCTTGAAATTACCGCAAAGTTTTGTTAACCACTCGGAATTTTGTTAGTGCCGCGTCGACTTGTTACTTCTTACAATGCAAGTCTTTTATGTGCACAACTCAGATCGGGTTGCGACCAATTTTATTTGGTTCACCACAAAAAATAAGCGTACCCGTATTTTTTCATTTTTCCTAATGCACTAATTTGAGCGCGAGGCGCGAATTTTAAAACATTTTTCAGGCAAAACCTCGCTTTTTAAAAATTCTGTAAATTTTCAAATTTCAGCGCCAATCCAAAAATTCGGTAACATGTCTCTTCAGAATGACTTACTTACCTACATATGTAATCTAATACGTCAAAAGCAAGTTAATCGTGCAATCCACAATCGTCTTAATTATGGCGACCATCCAAATCGTCGTAATAGTCCCGAAATGTCCCACCCTTAACCCGATCGGCCTCAAGGAACGGATCAGCCGTCTCTCATACCTTCTGAAACAGAGCTCCCTTAACGCTCTCAAGTACCTTGCAGACTCCTCATAGGAAATCGCTGATCGTGGCAGTATGGTCCCTAGCACGGTGATTTCTATCACGCCAACTATCGGAAATGTGAGATACACCATGAACGGGAACGTCCCAAACATTTTGATGGTCGCATAATTCGCCAAGACGGAAATAGTGCAACCAAAAAATACAAAGGGTGGAGCCACATGGTGATAAATTTCTAAGTTCACGTAGCTATTCCACACCCTTTAGAGCCCTGAAAATTTTGACCGTATCGAATAGTTTAGTCTTATGCGCCCTAATTAACTCATGGAGCCCCAGTGTTGTTGCCTGAATTGTAATTAAGGTACACACAATCGTAAAGAAAATGCATTTAAACAGCTCATTCGTGGGTAGCATGTAGGCTGTCAGCTTTAATAGGAAACCGAGTCCTCCACGGGCTAAGGCTAGCCCCATTAGGTGATCTAGTACGCCACCAAGCGGGTCCAGGTCAAACATTATTGCGACAGAGTTAATGCAGGGCGAGACTAGTATCAGTAACCAGGAAATGTGCTTCAGCACTATATCAAATCTGGAATTTCGGTGGATTATAATCTCTGGGGAAAGTTCTGAAATAAAATGAAGCTCAGTATTAAATTTCCAGATATTTTGTTTCTAGTCATGCAAAGTAATATTAAATTCAAGTGTCAAATAGATTCCAAGTCCTTACAAGCCATGCCAACAAATAGCATAAGCTAATCCATGATAACATATACGTAGCATTGCAAGATGACCGAGCGAATCAAAAATACGTTAAAGTTTAACGACATACTAGAAAAATTTTAAATTCTAAGATAATTAAATACATCTAGACACTTCTAATGAACGATTGGATTTTCCAATTTACCAGAAAATCCGTCATCCAGACTTTCAATTGGACTTATCCAATCACAGAAATACTCTGGTCTCAAACCGAGAATGAAATTGGGCGCGGTGAAACAGGAAAATACTATGATTACACAAGTCAGCACGAACATACGCGCCGATTCCCACAAATCGTCCTGATTACTTCCGCGCAGTTTGAACAACAGGAGAG